TATCTTGTTGGCCTGTGTCGAATTCAAGACACCTGAGGTGCACCTCATGTGTGGCGGACTGCTGGCCTTCGCAGCTCATGAGTCACTGAGTATGGTCAGCTAGCGCTTTGAAATGTTTCATGTTTTGTTAGGGCGTTACATTCTGTGGTTGTTCAGCTTCCTTCTTGATAGCTGAAGTGCACCCAGAGCTGTGAAGACTCTGCTGATGTTCTAATCGTGATTTGTAATGCCTGATTTGTAACGGCTCTGTTCTGGGATGAGATGCTCATCCTGTGGACTGAAGTCTCAGGGCCTCTGCTGGCAACTGCGTGTCGGGTCTTCGCGGAGGATGCATCAGGCTGCATCTGACTGCTCTTTCTTTGGGGCTGAATGTCCTTCAGCTGTGATCGCGCTCTTGTTTAAATGACCATGACTTGTAATACCAGCCTTGTATGACTTACTTCTGCACATCGCTTAGGCCTTCTTATGCTGGGGCACCAGTCTATCCCACTTGATTTGTAATTGGCTCCGAGTGGAAGCCAAACTGAGGAAGTTTCTGACGCAGCGTGGCTGCAACCCTGGCGCGCTGGACTCGGGCCTCGGCAAGCAGACAGTGACCCTAGGCAGCACGGAGAAAACCAGCAGCGGTTAGAGTCCAGAGCTTCAGAGCTTGACGGCCTTGAGGGTTGAGCGGCAAGATGTTTGGGCTCCAGGAGATGGTTGCCTGGGTACATTGCACAGGTGTGCTTCCACGCAAAGCCCAGGACCGCGCTGCAGAAGTTCCTCTCACTGCAGCCTGACGTGTTGGAGCTGAAGCCGGCGCGACGGAAAAAGAGCCATGGCTGCTTCAGATTGCAGAACCGGGTTTCGGCTACGCGTGCGCACGCGAGCGCGAGCTTCATGTGAATTTCCTGAGATGTGAACCCAAGGCGAGGAGGTAGCAGTGTGCGAACATGCAGGGCTTATGTGAAGCAGACATCTCAGCCCCGTGTGATTACAGGGCAAACGTCTCAACTGTGGTCCAAGCAGTAGAGCTGCTGCCTGCAACGGGGAGAGCCGGTTTCGATAGTGATTCCTGGTTGAAGACTTCTCAGTGCGATGCTCTTCCGGCAGTTGGGTCATTCACAGACCTTCCATCCTTGTTTTCCTAGAATCGTGCGAGAAGCTCAGGAAGGGCGGCTCCAAAGCCGCTGCGGCGAGTTCGGCGAGCTCGAAGAAGCCGACCTCCTAAAGCAAAGCCGAAGGCCGAGGAGAGCTTCGACATGAAGATGAGGAAAGAGATGTGGGAGATGGCGGAGATGGAAGCAGGCATGCGCGTGTTTTGCAATCTCACCCAGCAATTCACGGTAAGCTGATAACGGGAAGCCGTGTTGAGTGAACCAGTTACCAGTGCTCAGTGTGCGTCGCTGTCTGTGTGCAGGCATGTTCTGAGATCCAAGCCGGGCCAAAGGGGCATTCTTAGCGAGTTGACAGTGCGAAACCATGTCTGTGTTGACTGCAGCACCTGTACGGTACGCACGCGTGCCTCGCTGTTTTTGTGCAGTCTTGGTCGATCTTGGGCACAATTTCTACCTCTGTCTTTGCTAACGAACAGATGCGGACAGTCTTACCGCGAAGCGGTCGAGTGCTGTCGCAGCTACGCATTTGCGAACGTGGCAAAATCGGATGGTTTCCTGCCCCTCCCATGACTTCTAATCGCGAAGCAAGCTCGCCCAGTGAGTATGACATGGTGGTGTGATTGTTCGGAGACAGCTCTAAGCGGGAGCACGCTCAAGAGAGACGATGCTTACGTTGTCTAGTGCAGAGCATTTATTGTGAGTTTCGCAAGCCAAGCTGCAGCCCGTTCCTTAGCAGGGATAGGGTCCAGGACATGCCATCCCACTAATTATTCGGGTACCGCCTGGGCTTGCGGCCGGCTGCATGACGGGCATCTGTGATTCTTCGCCAGAGCCACTGGGACGATGAACCTGCATTCGTTGGCGCTTCTTCTGGCGCCGAGCCCGGTGGCTGTCACCGCCTCCGCCGACGCTGCAAATGCCTGGACCTGAGTCTCCACTTGGCTCGTGGTGCGTGTCTTCGTCTTGGTATACTCGCATCATGCAGCAAGAGAATGCAAGAGTTGCGTTGCAAGCTCAAGTTGTGGAATCAGATTAGGCCTACTACGTGTCAAAATGTCAAAAATGTAGAACCCCGACTGCTGTGAGCGAGCGTCGGGAACCTTTGTTTCTCAAGACTGCAGCGGTATCAGCGGTATCTGTATGCACGAGGATCCTGGTCCGAAGGACATGGGCTAGCAACAGAACTGTCGAGACAAAAGGCTGGCCTGCAGCAACCTTTAGGTTTAGAAAGGTTTACTTTTTTTAGACACTGTCGGCCGAATCAACTCTTCTCTGGCACCGAGGTCCTGACAACGTTTCGACACATGCAGGCTGTCGGGACTTCAGTAGGTTGACCCTGCCAGTCCTCTGTGGAGCAACCTTGAAGTCAAGGTTGAAGAGCAGTCCTCAGTCCTGTTATTGACAAAGCCGCGCCCGTCTCCCTGTCTCCCTTCCCCTGTGCCCAAGCTTCTTAGCCTCAGCCCCAAGAAGCTTGGGTGACAGGGCTGGCGCTGCAAGACGCGGATGTTCAGTGCTTTGCATTTGCCGGATCACTTGGAGATGGTGGAAAAGGTGCAACAGGCATGGACCAGGGCTGAAGGGCTCAGAAGATGGATCAATCAGCCTCCCTCCATCCGAATCTCATTCCTAGCGTTTTCCTTGAGTCTGTTGAGGCCACAGCCATAGCCTTCTCTGAAGCCATGTGCAATCGCTTTACTTGGAGGCATCGGTGTGGTGCAGCCACCATCCGGGTTGCTACGGCGTGCAGTTCTATAATGCAGGCCCAGAGGACTGCGCTCTGTCTGGCGCATGGGTCCTGTCGAGTCCTGTCGTGCCAGAACCCACATCTAGGAACTCTGGCACGTGTAATCGAACCAGGCTATGGAGGTACTTCCTTTCCCGAAGTTGGACCACTCCAGTTGCATGACATTGACCGACAACCCAAAAGACCCTGAAGCCAACTCCGTGGACCTGTGCAGGAAGACTTCATGTACTGCATGAAGTGGTGCGGCCAACCTCAGTGGTGCCTTGCACCCATCCTGGCCGCACGGCGCAATAGGTGCCCGAAAGCAAGACCTCAAATCCCGAAGCCTAAACCCAAAACTCGGTTCTAAAGTCGGGATGCCAAAAACTGAACCCTGAGATCGCAGTCACGGACCAGTAAAGCATTGCTTCGTGTAACCCTCAACCCGAAACCCTTTCGGTTCGATCTTCGAGGAAGAAGACGCCGAGGGCTTGCAGGCGGACGAGCTGGTTCAAGACAATCTGTTTTACCTGCTGGCCCCTCCCTTATGCAGTGCGTTGGGTCGGCTTCGAGCTCCAGGATTTAGATCTTTTCGATTGGTGAGTCTGGGTTTCGGGTTTTGAGGCTTCCAAGTTCAGGAGTGGGGGTGAGCACAGTCCGCCCCGTGACCGGCAAAACTTTGTCCTTGCATCCGATTAAAGTTGTTCTACCTCTTCCGATGTGTGGTTTCGCTCTTGGGCAACCTTTTTCCCTGTAGCTCGGGCCTCAGCAAGGCTATCTGCTAGAGCTGCTTAAGACCGAGGTCAAGCCTCGCCCGGGTTCGGACTCGCTGGCCTCGCCCCTCCAGGGCCCGCCAGCCAGGCGCCCTCCGTATGAAAAAAGGGTATCGGGAGAGGATTCAAGGTACCAAGCTCAACTAAGTGTCCCTGCGAGGGGTTCAACGTGTGTAGCATTTGCCTACTTCGTGTCTGACTCTCGGTACTGGGTATGTTGTGAGTTGTTAGTGCAGGATGCAGTTTGACACGTCGGTGCTGGATGTGCATGACCTTTAACGTGCTGCACTCATAATCCTGAATGGCCTCACAGTTTGCTCCGTCTTGGACGACAGCCTACAAAAGTCTACAAAACCAAAGTGTCTTCAACATGCCAAACCAACATGGGACGACATGGCACGGCAGCGACAGACCCTGACTTTGATGACAGATGCTCATACGCTGGTCGGGTGGGTCCCTGCTTCGATCCGCTTGCCCGAGAAGCTTGCAGGGCACGCAAGTGACTCGGTGTTCTTGGGTGCATATGCTCGAGCAGGATTGTGCGGTTTTGCAGGGTTGAATTATGTAGGTTTCATGCGGGGGCTCAATGGCTGGAAGCCTTCGAAATCATAGAAAGCTCCAAATCGCAAAGCCTCGGGGATCCCGAGGCATCGGACACAGCGCCAAGGTTTAAGCCCGGCCAGCGGGCCTTTGTTTTTGCAGACGATCTGCAGCGCAGAGCCGAGTGGCTGGATCATTTGGAGGCCGGCGTGTGTGTATGGAGATGTTGCCGTTGGAAGTTCGGCCTTTGCTGATTAATTTGCCTTGCGATGGTTACTTTATGCGACAGTTCCTCAGCCACTTGACGACTTTGTTCTCTCTGAAACACAACCCCATCAGAGTGTTTCAGGAGGGCCCCCTGCTTCCAATTTTCGGAAGGACTCCTACATACTCCACCTACAGCGCAAGTGGGCGGAGCCAAATGGTGTGGATGTGGTGCTGATTCTTCCGGACGTCACCACAGCAGCTCTCCGAGCAAACTGTCAAGCTTGATGCATGATCTAGCCAATCAAGGCTCTAAACGTTAAACTTGAACCCGAATCTCCAAATGAGAGCCCCTGCTGCCTCGTAGTTTAGGGTTTGGGGAAGTGAGCGCACGGTGCAATTGCATTCTTGCTTGGGCATGAAGAGGCTGCACTACCTCCTTGGCAAGTGAATGCTTCAGTCGTGCAAGGCAAGATATCCAATTTCCGGGGCCCAAAGATCGGCCCTGATGCGGATGGGCAGGGGGTCCTGGCTGCCCTGGCTTGCTTTGGCTTGCTTCACTTGATTAAATCCCTTTTGGGTAGGGAGCTCTGGAGAAGTGCTGGGAGCTCAGGTGTCCGCATCCTGGAGGTGCCTTGGATTCGGCCGGAGCTGGGCAAAGGCCCGCCGCATCCGCCGCTCTGCTTGTGGTCGCGCTAGGATGCAGCCCCGCCGAAAGAACAGGCTCTTGCTTCCATGAAGTCCCCGCACATTGACAGGTATCCCTTCCTGGGCTCAGCAAGTATGGTGCTCGGACCTCAGTGTGTGCGGCCGTGGGTCCAAATCGACGCGAGCAATGATGCTCACTTCCATTGGATCGGGATTGATGCAGTTGCTGCTGGGCAGCCATGAGTAGAAGGGTTCAGGTGCGTGACGACTCGAGCCCTTGACTGCATCAATAGGTGCTCTATGATTTTCTGAATTTGGAAGATCTTGGAAGCAGTTCGCAACTTGAGGGCTGGGAGTTTGCAGGGTAGCTGCGGAGCCTTGCTTCGGGGAGCAGGTGTCGATCGCGACTTCTTCAAGCTCCATGCGCTGGGACTTGAGTATGACGCGATTATCTTCTACGACACAGATGTGTGCCTTCACAGAATCCTAGGTCAAGGGCATGTATAGATGCAGAATCAGAATCAGCTGTTTTTTGCCAGAGTTTCCGATCTCAAAGACGGGCCTTGTTATGCCACCAAATCAACTTGCCGTGCATTGAAGTTCAGGTTTGTGAACCCTCCGGACTTCTCACACCTGGAAGCAGCATCTTGGCTTAGGCCCTGAAGCGCAAGATTTGAGGAGATTGATTCAGCTGCACAGAGGGGCGACAACAACGACGCCGAAGAGCTGCACATCTCCTCACACCCAAATGCCAAAACAACAAGCTGTAAACGCTTTACCCAGCACCATGGACTCAAAGCCCAAATCCATGAATTCCAGAGCTCAGGTTTTCAACTGCGCATACCAGGCTGGCACTTTGGGAAATCGCCCTCGAAGAACGCGAGGGGTTATTGGTTCTACCGTCTTTTACCCCTAAAGCCCAAACCGTCCCTGAGCTTTTGTGCAGGAAGCAACACGACCCTAAAGCAGACTTGTCATCCTCGACGCACAACCCGTGTCGTTCTCATCCGCCCCAAGCCCACATCCCTGAGTGCCTCAAGGTTTGATGCTAATCCGAAACTGCAAAGACTCATCGACAAAATTGAATCCCTTATGCCCTCACAGAGCCCTCAAACACCGAAGTAGCACCAATCATATCCAATCATATCATTTCATACCATCTCACATCACGTTATCTCATATGAGAATTAGCTGACAGTAGGTTAGAATGTACTATATGATACCATAAGGTACTGGTCTAGATGAGATCATAGTAGATTGTGTTCGATTTGTGTTTGATTTTATTAGGTTTGCTTCAATGGCTTCAACGTTTTTGCCGCGAGGGCTACTTTTTGGCCTCGGCCCTTCACGGCGGCTTCGAGCCCCTCGGCATGGAAACGGACTTCTGTGAGGTTTAAGATGGATGTGGGAAGTAGTCACGTGCGGTTAACATTTGAATCCGTGTTGAATCGGGTCTGGCAGGGTGTGGATTGGGGTGAAGAGCTTGGATCTTTGCAAGTTCTTGAAGGAAGGGCTTTTTTTAAACCTGGAGAGCCCTCGTTGAAGGTTGTACAATTCCAAGCCCAAGGCCGCTAACCGTTGCCTTCTTCGCCCTGCGGCCCTCGCCAGCGCTGCTCCGCGCTGTGCAGCGCTTTCTGCTGGCCGGGTTCTGGGTTTCTCTCTTTGTGGTGGAAAAGACGTATAAGGGCTTGGCCAAATACGCCAACACGAAGCCTCGGGTGATATGATTGCATGGCAGAGCAATCCTGTTAATATATATATATATTATATATATATATATTTACTAAAAACGATGTAGCATGCAGGGACATATGGTAACAGCAATGCGCACAATCATCTGTCGCCCCCACAAGTACCAAGATTGGTAACAACGGCTAGTGCAATTGCAGGGCAGTAGCAGAAACGACGACAGCACAATGCTGACGACTATGATGACAGTGTTGTTGATGACGATGATGCTGATGTTGATGCCGATGTGGATGCTGTTGATGATGCTGAAGATGCTTGTGATGAAGATTGCATTGATGAAGGCGGAAATAGATGATGATATTTGCCTGTAGGGATGATACAAATGACTTAGAAGTGTGTGAAACACAAGCAGTATTAGTAGCCGCTACAAGAGTATATATAGAGTCGGAGTCGGAAGCACTAGCACACTGATCATCACAGTGGCCGCTGTCACCACGGCTGCCACACCCGCCACTGCCGCCGGCACCACCACTGTCTGCAACAACAACACCAGCACCACCATCGACAATGTTAACAGCAAGATTCGAATACTGTCACTCACCAAAATCAGCTTGACAAACATCAGCTTTGACATTGTTAACACAAGGTCAACATATTAATAGCCTTAACATTCACAGCCATTGGTCGTAATGGTAAGTGTCTCAGTCGTCGTCGTCGTCGTCGTCGTTAACGTGGAAGCTTCACCACGTCAAGCCCCGAACTTGGAATCAGAATGCAACCTTCGATGACGATGGCGCCTGGAACTGGGTTGGCTTTGGCCCCTGGGGCTGCCTGGATAGTGCGCCTGGGTGCACTCCGGGCTGTTGGTATTGCTGGCGAGCTGAGCCGTTGTGTCGCTGAAAGTGTTTGTAGGTACCGATGAGTGGTGCTTCCGTTCCTATCACGTCGGCGGCGAGTGCGGGCAGGGTTGGCTCCTCGGGTCCTCGGGAGAAGCGTGTCCTAGTCTTCGTTGGATCCTGGGTTGAACGTCCATGGTTGCTGAGGGTAGTGTCCGCGCAGCGAGGCATTGTCAGATGTTGGCCTCCGAGGTCTTTTCTACGACCTCTTCTACCGTGCTGACCAGGTTTTCTGGCGACGTGATCGCAAGGAAGTGACCTGTGAATGTTGAGATGGAGAGCATTCAGCGTGGTTCTTGCGAGGGCCTTTTGTTTTTGCTTGCTTGGTCCTGTAGTAGAGGTAAGCAGAAGCCAAACCTGCTTCAACACACGAGGCTTTTGGCGAAATTTCAAAAGCTTAGGAACCCTGGAGTGCCGCGAGCGCCGAAAGGCCTTGCAAGCCGAACACAATGGTGGAAGCATGAAACCCGTGCACTTCAGTAAGAAGCAGAAGGCGCACCGTTTGTCTTCCCGTACGAAGCTGAGGACAGCACTGGAAGCCGAACCTTCCACGGTGAGGCCTCGTTAGTTGTGGCTGTTGGAATCATGACTCGTGGGGCTTGCAGGGGTTGAACTTCGTGCAGAATGAAGCGAGAAGAGTTTACAGTAGCTGTTGCATGTGATGCCAAGCCAACATCGCCCAAGCAGCTTGGCCAAGCTTTTCACTCCTCTTTGGACAGGCCGCTGGGTGTGATGCTGGATGGCTGCTTGGTTATTATGGAGGAGAATGCAGCAACGGAGCCTTTCCATCTTGCTGAGCCTTGGGGCCAAGGATGCATCTGGCTCTACGAAAACTCCGTCCGGGTTGCTGGGTTTCCAACCGTGGGGGGCCTCAGACGCAACATCTCATGTGGCCTGCTGTGCCCCTGTTGCTCGTCCAATGATAGAGGCGCCTACAATATACGAGCTTTCAAGCATGTTTCTCTGTGCATGTGCTGCTTGCTGCATGGCATCAAGAAACAATAAGAACCACGAATCATCGGTGGTGGCAAAACAGGGCGGACTGCAGGTTTGAGTATTTACGCAGGTGACAGCATATGCATTTCTGGCTGGTTTCATCATGTTCCATGAGACCAGCAACTCAAAGTGTCGTAGTGCTTGCTTTAACACGACACTCCCTGAAGTCTTGCTGAGACTCGATCTAGGTGCCCAATCCCTGCCCGGACATGGTCGCGCAGCATCGTTGCAGCGACATCGTGGCATACCACAAGGCTGGCTGGACAAGGTGTTGTGTTGGGTCTAAGCTTTCTCAAATGCCTGGGCCGACCTCCCATTCTCCTGCATACGTGCCCACGTACACCTCTCGGGGCTGTGAGCGTCAACAACCTCTCATCCTCCCAGGGATTATGATTTGATCTGCTCCTAACATTCGATATTTCCTGTTTCAGCCGTACAATTTTCGCCGTAGTTGTAATCTGTGCTTGAATCCCTTAACGCTCACTCCCCTCCCCTCGCTCTCCCTTCGGATGGCAACCTGCAGTAGCCACAAGAACGTAACGTATGCAGACCGCACATGAAGCATGGGTCATTCTAACACAGAAAAACAGCTGTGTATGCGGCAGCAGTGAGAGTCACAGCCACGGTCAGCTTCGTGACGTTTGCAATCCTGCAAAGAAAAACAGCAGGTTATCGAGGGGCGCGGCTGCGCTGCGTCGCCTGATCTCCTTGGTGCGGGCGCTGCACGGTCCTTGAGGCTTCGATTCCAGAACTCGGGTTGAACCCGAAGTCTTTGCTATGAGTGCTATGCTGCGCTTTGCTCATCGCAGGTGGGTGCAAGAGACCAGTGGTTGTGCTCGACAGCCGTAGCATGCAATACACAGTTTTCAGTGGCAAGGGGCTTGCTTCTGTATGCCCTCGGCTTATGACTTGATGCCTGGGAGGCTCTACCCATCAGACGCAGCAGACAGTCTCTACAACACGCACACGTCCCCGACTTTCCAGTCTGAGATGGAGCCTGAGACCAAAATGGCTGTGCCGGAGAGAGCAATGAAGCCGCCTGTGGCCAAGTTGGCCATTGATAATCAGATGCTCCATCAGGATGCAACGTAGCGAGTCGCGACTGGGGATCCAGGCAGTCTGCAAATTCGGAAACTCAGAACTTGCAGTTGTCCCCGATGCATTTGGCTTCCAGCTGGCATGCGAGCAACACACGCGGTATCACAGAGTCCACACAGACAATACGCGAGAGACTCGAGACTCGCTGTTTCATCCGACCCATACTTTGCAGAGTGCGATGAGCTCAGCATGGAGCCGCCAAGGGGCTGAATGCCTCGGAGCCCCACAGTCGCAGCGCCCCCTTAAGCTCTGAACTAACCCCCGACAACGGAGTGGCCCCCCCAAGCGGCGGACGGACGCGCGAAACGCCTTGTGGCACCTCTTCGAAGCCATGGCTCCCAAGAAGGGGAAGAAGGACAAGGAGCAGAAGGATGCCAGGGCCCCAACAATGCCCAACAGGTTTCAAGAGAGGAAGGGACCAAAGGCTCTTTTGTGAAAGCCCGAGGCGGCTGCAGTCGCCCCTGCCAGTGTCAACTTGTCGCCCGCTATGGCCGAGTTGCTGAACAAGCCGGGGGCCCAGGGCTCGAGGGGCCTTTGGTGTTTACGAAGTTCCGAGGTTTCCTGTGGGGCAGTGGGGCGGTCACGATTCAGGATTGCATCAAGGTTGCGTGATCATGTGAGGCCTTTGAGCCTCTGTTGATGTCTGAAGGCGAAAGCCAAGCCCCGGTTCACAGGTTTCTGAGGATTAACAGGTCGAAGCAGACTTGGAGGAAGCCTGTTCTTGCCGCCAGGAAGATCCGAGAATTCGAGAAAAGCTCAGCCGAGGCCCCCTGGCCTTACGTGTGGGGTGCGCAGTGGATGGGCGGTCTGCTTGCACACAGAAGAGCTTTCTAGCAATTGCAGGAGAACGAGAAGTCTCAAAAGGCGCAGAAAGGCAAAGCCCGAACGGCTGCCAAGAACAAGCTCAAAGAGGCGGCGTCTGTCACGGATTTGTCGGATTGCCCTCTGAATGTCGCGTCCTTTGCTTGTCTCAGTAAGCTCCGCTTTTGGCTGCACTTCCGGGAGCGACCGATGAGTTGGATGGGTCCAAATGGTCCAAGTCATCTTCCTAGTCAGCCCGCCATGTAGCGCTATACTTGAGACTTGGCCTTGCCGACCCAGCTGTCTGCCCGTGCCAATCCCAGTTGCTGGTAAGCTGTGACTCTTTCGACCTGCAGAGCGTGAAAAGTTCCGAAACCAAAGACGGCGCGCAGCGGCCCGGGGATTCTCGGGTCTGGCGGTGCTCGGACCCAAAGCCCTAGTTCAGGTCCCCAGCCTCTGAAGCCTCAAGTTTGACTCTCACCCCGACTAAATCCTCACAACCCGAGGGTGCCCCATCCGAATCCTGAACGAACCCGGATGTGCTGTGAGGTGAAGCAGATTGCCACTGGCACTGCCCCGGACGCGGAAAAGGCCAGCCCCCTGAAGGATGACCGAGGGCGGTTGACAGTTTGAACGATTCAGAAGCGGTACTCGCTTAGGCCGAAACCCGACAAGAACTTCCACCGATGTGCAATCGAAGTACCGATGCCGAGGATTTTTAGGGGCGTCCCCAATCCAGGGGTCTGATGTAGGAAAGCTTGAAGGTCAATGGCTTTGGAATCAGAGTTTCAGCGCCCTTTCGCCAGATACAGCAGCTGGTCCAGCGTCTGGAGGCAGAAGATGAGGAGGCGACTATCAGTCGTTTTAGTAGGACTTTGTGGATGCTTTTGTATGTATGCGCTGATGCATTCATGCATACACACATACAAGATACAGTGCACTTCCAAGTCTTCTGGATTCTCGTCGCTATTGTTGGAGTCTGGAATTTCCGTATTCTTGCCCAAGAAACCCAGTATGCCAAATCCAATGAAGTCCACTCTCAGATCCCGAAGCTCTTGAGTTCCTCAACTCCAGCACACCTCAAGGCCTAAACCCTGACCGAGGGCATGCGCAGTTTACTCTTTCATGTTCCGATCTGTCCTCGCCTCTCGTGTTTCGAGCTCGCATGGGTTTACGGGGAGCATTTTCTGTTGGTTTGGGTTTGGTTCTGTGCAGGGGCTAAGGGTAAGGGGGGTAAGGCATCGTACTGTTGTTCCCTGAGGTCTCACGCGCCGACTCTTGGGGTGCCAAGAAGTTGGAAGAAGGGCCCGCAGACAACGAAAGCCACAAACGCGAAACCTGCCCTCTGAACCTCAAACCCCGATACCCGAGATCTGCCCTAAACCCCAAACCCCTAAACCCCTAAACCCTAAACCCTAAAGCCCTAAGCCGTTAACCCCTAAAGCCCGCAGCCCTAAACCCCCTAAGGCCCTAAACCCTAAACCCTCGCATCTATGATAGACCCGTCGCCCGTGAGAGGCGATGAGCCTCGGCCAGGATGTGGAATCCCGGACGAAGGAGCCGCTCTTGGGCCTTCTTGGGGCTTCACGGCCGCCTGGGGCTGAATAGAGATTATCTATAGCAATTATTTTTACGATTTGGATGAAAGTTTCGGCGGAAAGTTGGGCTTGCAGCTCTAATCTTCTTCAGGTTCCTTTCGACACCCATCGCTTGCCTTTGCAAGTCGTCGAAGCATCGTGCGCTGATAGCTTGAGAACGCCAGGAGCTGACGGACGTCGAGGACAAAGCAGACAGTGCACAGGCTGGGAGGTGTGGGGGTGAGCGGAACGTGCACAGGTACACCCTCACACCCGAGCAAGAATGACAAATCTGTGGAAAGGGCAAGACCCTCAATGCAGGCAGAGCTGTCAAAGTGCCTCGCCACGAAGTCGAAGCTGGAATCCCTACTTCGCCCGGATCTCATTGAAACATGAGCTGCTACGGTTTTTGGATGTGTTTTGTCAACGGTCTGGGATCTGTAGTTGTCGATTGTCAACATATCTGTTTCATTTGATGGTCCACAGTCAGCAACCTCCAAAAACCTCACATCATAAGTTGGAATCTGATGAGGCGGTAGGAGACGTCGAGAGGTCTTCATCTTCGCCGGGGAGTCGCAAAACACATGCCTTCGTCTTCCTAAAGAAGTTTCGAATGAGATCTGATTTCGTTGCTTTGCCTGACAGAGCAAGAGATTCGAATCCCACATTTCCTGATTCTCATGCATTTCCACACCACCCGTCAACTTGATAGAACGACTAGAACGCTTGCGTTTGGCGCGTTTAGAGTTTAGAGATCTTCAGAGAGCTTTGAGGGATGAGCAGCGGGGTCAGTGTAGAGCTTGCACCGTTTTGCTGCAATGCACCTTTGGATCTTGCTGAGCATCACCGTCACAACCAGAGCCCGCACAGTCTGCTCATCTCCGATGTAATCCTTAATGAGGTGGCATGCCCATTACGTGCGGGCTGCCTCCTTTTTTTCAATGTCCTACTGAGCTCCTTCCCAACTCACAGCCTGCACGGCTTGACGTCTCGAAATTGGTCCCTTGTCGGCGCGGGCTGCCAGCCTACAAAGGACATCTTGTAGGTTGTCGGCTTCTTCAACGGTGGGCTCACTCTGCGAACTGAGGTATTTTCGACACATCCAGGTAATGCGGAAACAAACGGTTCCAAGACCTCGGGCCAATCTGAGTGTGGGCTGCCTGCCCACCCTTGCCCGCACCACGTCGGAGCATTGGAGAATGGAAACAGCCATTGACAGGGCAGTAAATATTGATTCTGTGCAGATGGCCTGACTCTCTTTTCGTCGAGCTTTGCGAGCTGCTTGCCCGCAGCGAGAAACGGTCGATTTTCAGGCGTCGAGGCGTTTCTGTGGCAGTGTGGGCTGCCTGCCCAAGATGTCTTCGCGGGTGAGACGTTTTGAAACTGCTTGTCTCAAGGCCTGCATCGGTCGGATGCTTCGAATTTAGATGATGTACTTCCCGGTTTAGAGTTTAGAGATTGACAGCTTGCGATCAGCACCTGCTGGATATCGAATCTGGGAACCTCGCGAATCCAATTGGTTTTTGTAGGCGTCCACAGACTACAAGAGCTGCAGTGGGTTCAGGTCAACTCCAACAGCAGACGAACACCCTCAACGAGGAAAGGAGGCCGGACTTTACTTCTTCCATGGCTTCAGACTCGTGAAACCTAGTGACAGCTGAAGGATTCCGGGTAGAGATCGCTTTGCAAGAGTAGGAACTTGCCGTCATGTGTGTTTTGGCTCAAGCCAGGTGGCGCACGGCGTGTGTGAAGTTCCTTCAATGAAGGTTCTGACAAGGGGGATGATGAAAGAGCAGTCAAGAGGATCATCCGTTGATGACTCCCAGCTCTTGGCCTCTTAATCCTTGTTACGCTGGCCACAGACCCCTTGCCAGGCATGCCAGTTGTGCACGTGCTTCCCCAGCATGCGGCCACCAGACAGCATGCGATTACAGCCCTGGATTCTGCGATAGATAACGCAGACAGAGCTCAACACTGTCGCGATGCATGGCATATCGTGAGCAAGCACGATAAGATTTCTTGCCATGGAGGTGTGCAGACAGTTGAGTTGCACGCGGGAGTGGTTGACGGAGTCTGAAGTGTCTGAATGGATGATTGCGAGAGGCAGATCTTCTTGTTTCATTCAGTAGACCAACCCGACAGTGTCTTGAACAGAGCAAGGCAAGTCTTCTAAGTGTAATGCTGCGAGGGTCCCTTGGCTGAAGACCTTGTGCCGAGCCTGCGGAAAATCTTGCTTCAAAGCGTTTTGCATGGTACACCTTGGTGGTTCAACCTGCCGACAAAACTCGAAGCTGCGAAATGGGGGCTAAGCCTGCCACCCAAAAGCCGTGCCCAAATCACAGGAAGCTCACGGATGCGGAGAGGCAGCGGCGTCAGGACGTTGCGTCTGCAGTGTCTCCGCTGGTACCATTGTCTCAGGGCTCTTTAGTTCTTTAGTTTGTATGTGTGATTGATGCACAGGGTGTGTAAGAGCGGGTCAAGTCTGTCGCGAGTTGGCTGGGGTCAGGATCTGGCGGATGAGTTCCAACAGACCATCGCTGATGTCAAGAAGAAGATGGATCAGCAGGTGCACTGGAACTGGACACCTCGCGTTTCAAACGGCTCCACGACCATGGCAAGGCTAGCGAGCGAAGTCGGCTTGCTCTGGAAAACGAGGCGGGCCTTGGACATTGGGTAGATTTCAGATACTTGTGCAATAAGTCTGTGCATCAAACCGGCTGGAAGCCCGTGCAAGGTCCTTCGAACAAAGTTCAAGGAGTTCTTCGAGAAGTATGACCTGCCAGGGGCCTGGCTGTAGTCTTAAATCTGCATGAAGGACCGATGCGAGTGCCAACATTCGAAGGCAAGGAGCCCAAATCCTGACCGGCCGTACTAACAAATGCGCTTCGGACTGAGGTTGAGGTGCCCACAAACCTCAACTCTTCAGCTTCTACAGGATCCCATTCCGAATAAACGCACCCACATAGTCCCTCAAGCTCAAGCCTGAAATGCAAGGCGAGAGAAGGATTTGGCCGAGCAACAGAAGACTCGCGAGGTAGAAGTGAAGGCCTTTGAGCAGAGGCACACGTCGGATCTGACCTGTTTGTGCATGCTAAGCCCTGCTAAGCATATACAATTCATACAGTTGTACACAGCATACGCACATCTACCATACATACACACGTGCATTCATTCAATTATTCATTCGTATATGGATACAAACATACATACGGTCATACATGTATACATGACGGTCTGTTTTCGCAGGCTAGTCATTCTAGTCGTGCTGATGTGGTTATTGCTGCTGCCGCGTGACAGCTGCTGCTGCTGCCGCTGCTGCTACTGCTGCTCCGACTTCCTTTCGTGTTCGTACTACTACGAGTACGACTTTGACTTCGACTGCGACTGCGACTACTACTGCTACTACGACGACGACGACTACTGCTGCATTTCAGGCGCATTACAGAACCGCTTTTATTAAATGTTTTTTTGTTCCTGTCATTCGGTTTAGGGAAGTTAAGGTTTGGGGTCATCTTGGTATTGTTGGTCTTTTTGCTTGTTTAGAGGGGTTTTACTGACGCGTCATGTTGTTTTTTGTGCGTTTTGCTCCGTGTGGGAAGGCCAAAGTGAGAAACATCCTGGTCCGACCAAAATGCGCGTCACTGTGACCCCCTTGCGGACTATGCTGCTGCTGCTGCTACTACTACTACTGCTGCTACTGGTACTACTACTACTACTACTACTACTACTACTACTACTGCTACTACTACTGCTGCCCGCACTAGTACGACGACTACTGCACCTGCTGCTCCTGCTGTCGCCGCTGCCTTCGCTGCTGCTGTTAC